TTAACCTATCATTCTTGCCTGGCCTGAGGAGGGTGGTGGTGCTGCCAGAGCTCTCATCTTCTGACAGATGACTGGGCCCAAAATATCAATAATCTTATTTTAAATTAAAACATTAATAAGTAAAATATTAATAAACAATTCCTTTAAGGTGTTTTTTTTTCCCCCTCTTCCTTTCACCCCAGCAATTCACCCATTTCACAACAATATCCCACTGAAATGACTCTTTTTGCTGTTCCAGGAAGAATTTGGCCTCTGCTGCTCGTGGTCACCCTGGTGAGAAGGTGACAAGGGAAGAGCAAGATCCTCACCAGCCCTCAGGTGACTTGGATATCAAACATCCCACCAGCATTCCACTTGATAAACTACAGAAGATCCCCAACGTGGTGGGATGCTCCTGCACAGCTCTCTGCTTTCCCTCTGCCTGGTGAGATTTTCCCTGTGAGTTTTCATGGATTTAGAGACTCAAGGGGTGCTTTAAAGCTGCTTTTTTTTGGGGCCTAGGACAGCAGGTGCTCAACACTGTCTTGGCCAAGCCAGTGAGGGGATCCAGCCTGCATGGACAGGGCAACATTTGCCTGTTCCACTGCCTTTTTTCGGGACCACAGCACTTCATCTCAGGGTTCACTCTGCCTCCCTGGAGGGCACGTGGACTTTATTGAAAAAGCAGAATCCTTCAGCTACTCAGACTTCTTCAGGGATTATCTGATCCCCAACCACCCCTGTATTTTCTCAGCTAAATTCACAGAAGACTGGGGCAGCAGGAGAAATTGGGTTACTTGGGATGGAAAGCCCAACTTTGATCACCTGCTGCAGAAGTTTGGTAAGTCGTGGCCTTTTTAATACCTAATTAAAACATTTATGCTGAGGGAAACAGGGTTTTTTTTTTTAATCTTAGAAATCAAAACACTAGACAAAACCAAACAATTCCCCAGGAGGACCTAAAGCAGGTATATAAAATGATATAAAATATGATATCTACATCATATATATCATATATATCTCAAAATATATATGATATAGATATAAAATATTACATAAAAATGATATCTAAAATGGTTAAATTACACAATACTTTTTCTTTTGTTTCATTCTGGGAGTAAGTTTGAGATTGAGATTTGTGAAATGGGAGTAAGCAAAGAGAATTAGTGGATTAACTTAGAAAAAAGGTCTGGGGGATTGCTTGGATTTCTTTCCTCCTAGACAAGGGGAAAATATTCTCTAGTTCCAGTGAAATTTCTCTTCAGGCTGTGAAATGTTGGTATGTTGAATAGGAATCAGTACTCCACTCCTAATGGAGGGGGAAAGTTAGGTCATTTTAAATAATTCTTTTTAGAAAAAAAAGAAACTAAAAGAGGGAGATCTAGGGTAGAGAGAAGGAAGGAATTTTTGACTCTGAGGGTGATGGAACCATCCCAGGGGAGGTTGGATGGAGCCCTGAGCACCTGCTCTAGCTGCAGATGTCCCTGCTCAGGGCAGGAGATGATCTCCAGAGGTCCCTTCCCACCCACACCACCCTCAGATTCATGGGTTCTGTTCCCTGGGCTGAAGGGAGTTTGTGTTTCAGGAGAAGCTCTCGTGCCTGTTGCCAACTGTGATGTCAAGGAGTACAACTCTAACCCCAAGGAGCAGCTCCCCTTCAAGGAGTACCTCAGCTACTGGAAGGAGTACATCAGGAACGGGTACAGCTCACCCCGAGGCTGCCTTTATCTGAAGGACTGGCACCTCAGCAGGTAAGAGAGCCCTCTGAAAACCCCCACAGAGCTTGAGCCTTGATCCTCATCTTCTGAGGAGTGCTTCCACACCAGCACTGCTGCTTGGTAGCACCTGAATCAGTCTTCCAATGCACTGTTCTCAAGGGACTTCACCTGACAAGATGCCTCAACTGGTTGATGATTCCTGCAGAGGCTGATGCTCTTCAGTGCTCTGTTTATCGCCATTATACATTCCTGTGGGTTATCCCCCTGGAAACTCTGTGACTGCAACATTTGGCTTTTATTTGACTGCTACAGTGCAAACTTTACTTCTTAAAAAGGAAAGGGACACAGCTAATGATGTTTAATTCAGTGAATGTGTGAATTATCATCCTCTGTGATCCATTTTCTCTTCACCTGCCAGTTAGTAAAGTTCTCTTCACCCTATTCTGGTTTCCCTTCTCCAGCCTCCTGCTTGTGAGCTGGATGAGTTCTTCAGTCCCTGTGTCTGTGTTTTAAGTCTTTTCACTCAAATATCTTAAAAATTTCTTCACTAGGAGGGTGATGAGACACTGGCAGAGGTTGCCAAGGGAAGCTGTGGATGCTCCATCCCTGGAGGTGTTCAAGGCCAGGCTGGATGGGGCTTGGAACAACCTGCTCTTGTGGGAGGTGTCCCTGCCCATAGCAGGGGGGCTGGAACTAGAAGATCTTTGAGGTGCCTTCCAACCCAAACCATTTAATGATATTCTTAACCCAACTCTCTTCTGATGAGCTCTTGTTTTCAATTTTGAGAGGAGATCTCTCAGTCTCTGCCCCCCTGTTCTTCTGCTTTCCCAGACACTGGTGGTGTGACTCCCTGCAGAGAGCCTGTATCTGCAGCCTAGGATGGGAAAGGGACAACAAATCCTGCAGGAAAAACCCACACAGATGCCAAAATCCCTCCTAGCCCTCACCTCCAACCTGCCAACAAGTTGAACAAGGAGCCTTGGAGGTGTCTCAGCTAAAAAAATGCCTTTTTTAGGAACTGCCTTTGCTGTAATTAGAAGGAGGTTGCCAGGGCTGGAGAGGAGAAGGCCACCAAGTGTTGGTGGGCTGCTAGATTGGTCTCTGCAGCTGGGATTGGGGCAGTGAGGCAGAAGGAGGGAGGCTGTGTGTTTCTTAGGACCTGTTTCCAACACGTTCTCTGTTCCAGAGCTTTCCCAGTGCACGATGTGTACACGACCCCTGTGTACTTCTCCTCTGACTGGCTGAATGAGTACTGGGATGCCCGAGCTGGGGACGACTATCGCTTCGTCTACATGGGACCAAAAGGCTCCTGGTGAGGCCCTGGGGTCTCTCTCACTCTCCCCCACTCTGCTGTTAGGATTAGTATGACAGAGCATGGTCACTGTGTCCTTCAGGATAGCATCGTGCTCGTCCCCCTGCACTCAGCACTGGGGAGGCTGCACCTTGAATCCTGGGGTCAGTTTTGGGCCCCTCACTCCCAGAAGGACCCTGAGGGGCTGGAGCGTGGCCAGAGAAGGGCAACGGAGCTGCTGGGGAAGGGTCTAGAGCCCAAGTGTGGGGAGGAGCAGCTGAGGGAGCTGGGGGTGCTGAGCCTGGAGCAAAGGAGGCTCAGGGGAGACCTTCGGGCTCTGCACAGCTCCTGACAGGAGCCTGGAGCCAGGGGGGGGTCGGGCTCTGCGCCCAAGGGACAAGGGACAGGACAAGAGGAAACAGCCTCAAGTTGCCCCAGGGGAGGTTGAGGTTGGGCAGGAGGGAAACTTTCTTACCTACCAGGGCAGTGGTGGAGTCCCCACCCCTGGAGGGGTTTCCAAGCTGTGGAGATGTGGTGCTGAGGGACGTGGGGCAGTGGTGTCCTTAACAGTGCTGGGTTAATGGTTGGTCCTGATGATCTTCAAAGTGTCTTCCAACCAAAACAATTCCACACTGCAGAGGCACCATGGCCCCACTGTGTAGCCAGCCTCCTTTCTCAGGCAGCTCTGGATGTGAGCTGTCCTGGGACAGTCAGCTCAAGTGCTTTTGCACTTCCAAAAGCCCTGAGCTGTGCCCACAGAACCTACAGAGCTTCTCAGCTGGCTTCTCCATGGCTGGTGAGCAGAAACCCCCTGGGGCTCATGAGCCACTTGTGATCTGCAAAGTCAAGAGAAGCCTTGGAGAGGAGCTGATGGGTTGGTGGGATGTTTTGCAGGTGAAAAATCAGGCCCAGAGTTGGTGATAAAGTTGCATTTACAGTATTCTCATCAGCTGACCTCAGAGACTCTCCTGCCAACCAGGTATTTATGGGACAGATTCAACACTAGCAGCTGGAGAAGTGCAGAGGACACAAAACCCTGCAGTGCTACGTAGAGTGTCCTAATACTACAGAAACCAATAAAATTAAGAGAGTTTGGGATCAGTTTCAGGGAGTAGAAGTTGATTTCTTGTGTATACCTGATTCTCAGAGGCTTGAATCCATCGTGCAGCTTTCAGGGGTTGACCCAAGGTCCCCTTTGCCCCCCAGGACTCCCTTCCACGCCGACGTCTTCCGCTCCTACAGCTGGTCAGCCAACGTCTGTGGGAGGAAGAAGTGGCTGCTGTACCCTGCAGGGCAGGAGGAGTTCCTGAAGGACTCCCATGGCAACCTGCCCTTTGATGTCACCTCCCCCAGTCTCCAGGACAGGAATGTTTACCCTCGTTACAGCCAAAGCCAGCCCCCTGTTGAGATCCTGCAGGAGGCAGGGGAGATCGTCTTCATCCCCAGCGGGTGGCATCACCAGGTTCACAATCTGGTAAGAGAGCTGATGGGGTGCTGCCCCTCACAGGAGGAGGTTAAAGAGGCTTGGGCATGAGCAGGACAGGGAGCTGCTGGAGCAGGGCCCGAGGAGCCCCCGCAATGGCCCGAGGGGCCAGCAATGCCCCGGGGGGGGACCCCCTCGGCTGGGAGCCCAGCAGGAGAGAGTTGGGCTGGGGCAGCCACAGGAGAAGGCTCCAGCTGGGGAGACCTGCTGGGGGCTGCCAGGATTCTGTCAGAAAGCTGGGGGGGGGGACTCTTCAGCAAGGCCTGTTGGGACAGGACAAGGGGGGATGGTTTGAAACTAAAAGAGGGAGATTGAGACTAGAGAGAAGGAAGAAGTGTTTGAAACTGAGGTTGTTGAGTCCCTGGCCCAGGCTGCCCAGAGAGGTGGTCGCTGCCCCATCCCTGGAACCATCCCAGGGGAGGTTGGCCGGGGCTCTGAGCACCCTGCTCTAGCTGCAGATGTCCCTGCTCCCTGCAGGGGGTTGGACTGGATGACCTTGACAGGTCCCTTCCCACCCAAACCACTCTGGGATTCCATGATACAATCCTATTGATCACACAGAGAGATAAGCAAGCAGCAGGCTTGAGTCAGATCAAACCTCTGTTGCTAGAGAATGTTGTGGATGCCAAAAGGGGCTGCAAAAAGTGTAGAGAGATTCATGGAGGGAAGGTCTGTCAGCTCAAGATGGTGGCTAAAAGCCAACCTGAGGCCACAAGCTCCTTGGATCATTGCCTGCTGGAAGCTGGGAGAGTGCCCAGTTGCAGAAGCTCCCTGCACCCTCTTCTCTTACAATTTCCAGCAGCAGATCCTACCAGTCACTGAGAAATAAGACGCTGGGTGAGATGTTCTCGTGGTGAGGCTGCTGCTCTCAGGTTCTACCTGTAACCTGTGACTTCATCCTGCAATTCCTCCCTCAGGACGACACCATTTCCATCAACCACAACTGGGTGAATGGCTGCAACGTGGCCATCATGTGGTGCTTCCTGCAGGATGAGCTGGCAGCTGTCCAGAGGGAGATCAACGAGTGGAAGGACCCTATGGATGACTGGCACCTCCAATGCCAGGTATAACAACCTGCTGCTGCCTGCTTGGCTCTCTCTGAGAGGATCATCCATCTCCAGGGTGTGTTGCACACACCAGTTCTTCACCACACAGCTGGAGTGGCCAACAGGACCAGGGCAGGGATTGTCCCCCTGGACTGGGCACTGGGGAGGCCACAGCTCGAGTCCTGGGGTCAGGTTTGGGTTGGTGTCAGGTTTGGGTGACCAGTAGAAGGAAAGACCTTGAGGGGCTGGGGCGGGGATCCAGAGAAGGGCAACGAAGCTGCTGGGGAAGGGTCTAGAGCCCAAGTGTGGTGAGGAGCAGCTGAGGGAGCTGGTGGTGCTGAGCCTGGAGAAGAGGAGGCTCAGGGGAGACCTTCTGGCTCTGGAAAACTCCCTGAGAGGAGGTTGGAGTGAGGTGGGGTTGGTCTCTTCTCCGAAGGAACCATCAATAGGACAAGAGGCAATGGGCTGAAGCTGCCCCAGGGGAGGTTTGATTGGACATCAGGCAGAATTTCTCTCCTGGCAGAGTGGTGAGACATTGGCCCAGGCTGCCCAGGGAGGTGCTGGAGTCCCCAGCCCTGGAGTGGCTCAGAAAACGTGTGGATGTGGCCCTTGGGACCCTGGTTTAGTGGCCATGGGAGTGTTGGGTTGACGGTTGGTCTTGATGATCTTAGAGCTCTTTGTCAACCTTAAGGATTCAATGATCTTTAATCAAGAATCCAATGTAAAGTTTCCTTCTGGAGGCTCTTGCTGCTCCTGTGTTGAGATCCTTCAAAAATAGCTTCAAAACCCACAGCCAGTTAGTCCACAGAAGAACCAAGAGTGTTGCTTTTGGGGCTGGTGGCATTTCAAAAGCAAGAGGAAGCAGAGGTTTGTTATTCTTGCTGTAAATAAGAGTTATTTCCATTTCAGTGCTGTTTTTTTTTCCCCCCCTCTCACTTAGTTGATCATGAAGTCTTGCACGGGCATCGACTACAAGGAGTTCTACAACTTCCTCAAAGTGATTGCAGAAAACAGGATTTCCATCTTGGAGAACGGCCTCGACGACGAAGCTTCTGCCAAGAACACCCCCAAAGCTGCCATCTCCACCCTGGGCATGCTCCACGCCGTGTTTGATCTGAAGAGAACAGTCAAGGTGTTAACATCCTTGAGTGCTAATGAAGATTTCAAGAAGCTGGACCTGGCCTCCCTCTCTCCACCTCCAGAGGCCTTGCTCCACCACTTGAAAGCAGCAATAGATACAGCACTGCTCTAACTTCCCAGTTCTTCCAGCCTGGAAAAAAAGGAGCTTTATTTTTTGAAGGCTGACTCCTCCCTGGTGGAGTTTAAGGACAAAGAGAGCAGAAGTCCCTTGCTGGAGAGAATGGGGAGAGAGAGGACATTTTAAGAAGGCTGAATACTTTGTAACTTGACAGCTTTTAGGTGTCTAGAGCAATTGGGCAGGGGAAAAAAAAGCCTCAGATAAAGGAAAAAGCCCCAAATTGTGTTGGTATTATGAGTAGTATTAGAATATAATACTCATAATATAATACTCATAATATAATACTCATAATATAATACTCATATTATGAGTAGACATTCAGGGGAGGGGATCAGAAGTTCTCCATGGCCCAGGCTCAAGCCTATCAGGGTTGAACACTAAGCTTCCAGTTTTTGGCCCCATATTCCCTCCTCTCCTCTCCTCAGAGCCCTGTGGACAGACCTCAAACCTCCACTGCAGGCTCCAGCCAGGGATTTCTGCTTTGTCTGCTCTCAGCTTCGAGGCCTTCAAGACCTTTTGGGCTTCCAGGTGCAGCTCAGCTTTTGGTTTTTTGAGTCTCCCTTTCAAAGCCTGAGCTGGTTGAGCAGCTGGAGCCTGTGCTCATGTCCCAGTGTGGTGATACCTCTCTAGAGCTGAAAGCCTCAGGTAGGATCAACCTTCCAGCTTCTCCAGGGTTAAATTTAACATCATCATCAAGAAGCTGGAGATGACAAATCAGTGCAGGCAGCAAATCTGCCACTCATTTCAACATGGGATCCACCAAAGGAGGATCTTGAACTTCCTCTCCCCCTCTCTCAAGGCAGAGCCTTCTCTCCAGCAGAACTTTGACCGATCAGGGAAGGCAGCACGTAGCCTTGTCTTCTCCTCCTGAAGAAGCCATGCTGCTAACACACCAAACAGCACCCACTGCATGGTTACAGAGCACAATTCCCAACCAGAATGCTAGAAAAGTCCTCCCAGTGAAGATCCCTCTTGCTTTTACTAGTGAGAAAACCTAGAAGCACAAATGGCTGCACACTGTTATAGTCTCCTTTAGACCTCACTTGAACTCTAGCTCCACAACTTCCTCAGTTTCCAAGCAGATGACCAGTAAGAGCAACGAATAACTGGATGTTTAGAAAATCCAAGAGGAGAAATCCTCAGGAAGCTGAAAACTCTCCTTGTTTTCTAGCTGCTCTTGTTTGTACTTGCATGCATTTTGCATGTCCCATTTTCTAGTAGAACTTCTGCATTCCATGTAGGGAGCAGAACCTGAAATGAAAATCCATACCCAGAGCATGGAAGGATGTGGTATGGAGCAAACAGACTCCTTTTTTTCTCACTGTTAAACAGCTGTGACTACATCTCAGTGATTCAACCTTCTGGCAGAAGGTTTCTTTAGAGTGGAAATCTGCCAGTTTTAAGCACCTCTGAAATTCCAAGCCCACAGCTGTAACTTCAGGCTGTTTACATGCTCAGAGCTGGGCAGCTGGAGCTTTCCTCTGTGTGAACCAAGTGAGATTGCCTGCAGGTGAGGGAGGATGGGTTAAAAAGCTGATAATTTGGGGTTGTTGGGAGGGGAAGGATGAGTTTTGGTCTCGTGTTCCCCAGTCTCACTGCATGCTGCACAACTGCTACTGGCACCCACCACTTCAAACACCTCAGTTTTAGAAAGAGTTTGCTTTGATGAATGGTACTTCTCATTTCATGTCCCAGGAAGCTGGAACTGCAAAAATACACCCAGAGCCCAACAGCTCAATGTCCCCAGGACCAGTGGAGATCATGGCCCAGCAGACTCCATCCTCATTTTGGATGGATGGCAGGAGTTTCCTGTGAGGCAAAAATCCAGGCTGCAGTTCTCAGGAAGGGGAGCACTTGGTTCCTTTTCCCTGTGGATTTAGTTAAGGAAGGAAAGAGACAGGCCAGCAGGGTAGGTGGGTAAAGAGGTGTTCAGGGAAGGGAAGGTGGCTCTCAGCTACTCACCTTGACTTTCCCTTCACTTGAGCTGCCTCTGCACCACAGCATTGTGACAGGACAAGAGGAAAGGGCCTCAAGTTGCCCCAGGGGAGGTTGAGGTTGGCCCTGAGGAACAATTTCTTGCCCTGGAGGGTTGCCCAGGGCTGTGCCAGGCTGCCCAGGGCAGTGGTGGAGTCCCCACCCCTGGAGGGGTTTCCAAGCCGTGGAGATGTGGGGTGAGGGACACGGGGCAGTGGGGACCTGGCAGTGCTGGGGGAGCAGTTGGACCATAGACTTAGAGATCTCTTCCAACCCAAACAACTCTGTGATTCCATGATCTTCAGCTCTGAAGATGTGCAAGAACCATCCTTCCTGAGGCCTGCTGAGGCTTCCTGTGATCCGTGTCAGATAAGGGGGTAAGAAAGTGTCGTTTGATTGCAGGAAATGATGTGGAAGTTTAAGCCATCTTCTCCTTCCTAATTCAGCAGGGAACAGAAGCACAAAAACTTGTAATTTGAAGAGATTGAATCAATAGATGAGGTAACTAACCTGTCGTCCCAGTTCTCCATTCTCCTGAATGATTAAGGCAGGAAGGGAGCCACATCCTTTCTAAAATTAAAGAGAAAGCAAATTCTCCTACACCTGAAGATGACAGGAAAGCTTGGAATGAGAAGTATGCAAGCCTGGAATCTCTCTTAAAAATTAAACAGCTTTATTTAAATACAAAGTTACTGTAAAACATACATTAGGATCCTCTCAGACCAATATATTAACTATTGTAATCCCTGTACTATTTATTAAAGCATAATACTTGTGATAAACATGAGGAAACAGCCTGCAGAGTTTTGTTTTGTCCCAGACTTGGACAATTTGTAGTCAAACTGAAAAAATAAAAAAAAAAACCAAAGAGTGGGTTAAAAAAGTCTAGTTCAGAAGAACTTCTACTCTGAAGAGGCAACTCAGACACGACTATTTCTGGCTGAGGACACCAAATATCCATTTGCCTTTCCTAAAGGCAGCAGAAACCTCAGGCAGATTCTGAGCTAGTGTCAGACGGAAGCTGTGTTTGGGAAGCCAGTGTTTGTGCAGCTCTGGCCGTGCAGAAAGCCACGTGGGTTCCTGTTTTCTCTCACCAGGAGTTGAGGTTCTTCACCCCAGGATAAGGTTTTTAGGCACCCACGAACCCCTGCAGAGCTACGAAGCAGCATCAGCCTGGCCAAGAGGCAAGTGGGATATCCCTGAGGTTTCACAGGAGGTTCCAGAGCATAAATAGACACCTCTGAGAATCACAAAAGAAGGAAATCAGTCCGTAGCAGCTTCAAAATGTGCTGGAGAGGCACCAAGTTTGGTGTAGGGAGGTTGAGGAGTGGAAAAAACTCCTCTTGAGGAGACAAGAAAAACCACCTCACTCCAGGAACAGGTTTAGAAACATGGAAACGGCCTCTGCTGTCCACGCCACGTTTCTGCCAAGCAGAAACAGCCCCACCAAAAGAGTTCTGGTGGTTCCATCCAACAGTTTTCTGTAGGACAACCTCCCACAGGTCAGTTCCACCAGCACAAGCCATGCACAGCGTTGGGGCACAGTTCAAACGGGGTTTGGTGGCAGGTGGTGGTTTGCAGGAAGGTGAAATAAGACTACAGGGCTGAAGAAACCTCGGCTGCCTTCCACAAGGAGACTCCCAAACCCAACCTCCAATGGTGTGTTGAAGAGCTTTGGGCCCCTGGCATCCGTATGTCAGTGCTTCACCATCGTTTCTAGTCCAAGAGGAGCCCCAAGGAGAAACCTTCATGTGGTGAAGAACCATTCTTCCCGTCGTGGAGGCCACCAGAAGAGCAGTGACACCATCGCTGCTTCATCCCAACAGGGTTTGGTCAAGGAAATGCAGGAGGGAGGAGGCTCCCCGGGGGTCCTGGGGCTCAGGTGCTGTGGGACACGTGGCAGGTCTCTCGCTGGTGGAGCCTCATCCTCTGGATGTGTTCGTAGCACGACTGGGCAAGGAACAGAGCAACACGTTAAGGAGGAGCTGGGGAAGGCTGGACCAAAACCTGGCCTCTTGCACAAGATTGCATCTGCACCTTCCATCTTCTCTAGACTAGAAGGAAAACCACCTGGGCCAGACTGCTGTAAGGCCCTTTGGGGACCATAAGAAAGATGGGGACAATCTTTTTAGCAGGACCTCTTGGGACAGGACATGGGAGGATGGGTTGAAACTAAAAGAGGGAGATTTAAACTACATAGGAGGAAGAATTTGGTGCTGAGGGTGGTGAGCCCCTGGCCCAGGCTGCCCAGAGAGGTGGTCGCTGCCCCATCCCTGGAACCATCCCAGGGGAGGTTGGCCGGGGCTCTGAGCACCCTGCTCTAGCTGCAGATGTCCCTGCTCCCTGCAGGGGGTTGGACCAGATGACCTTGGAAGGTCCCTTCCCACCCAAACCTTTCTAGGATTCTAAAATGAGTGTAACACTTGAGTGTCTGCTACTCAAGAAAGGCCACTGCAGGTGGTAGCTGTCACTGCTGGAAACATTTCCTTACCTCCAGAGCTGTTAACAGAAAGTCATACAGTCCTCCTTGATGGGTGGGGTCCATCAAGTCTCTGATCAGATGGATTTCAGCTCCAAGGTGTTGGATTCTAGGGGGGG